AAAATGACCGTGGTTATTAATGTATACATTAATTATCGAACAAAAACTCTAAAATTTTATAAATTCAATAATGTTACGTACTAATCGAAAGATGTATACATTAAAGTTTGTATTATATATTTTAGACCTTTAGCTATCAATAGTAGTTTTATAGTTAATACTCTTACCAGACTGTTTAATTAATCCTCACTATATAGAAATTTTAATAAATTAATTAAAATATTTCAATAATATAAAAAAATTATAATTTTATTTAATTATGTGTTATCATATAAATAAAATTATTGATTTTGATCATAATTAATTTTTTAGTAATTGATTTGGTAAAAAAAAATTATATATTAAAATTTTAATTATATTATGCTAAAAATACTATATCGTATTTAACAAAATATTTTCAAAATCAGCATAAAATAATTTTTAAAAAGTCACAATATTCTTGTTCTTGAAACAAGGCTAAAAATGTATGGCAATCAGATGCATGGAAGTCACATATATTCGTATCATGCTTTCGGAATCTCGTTTTCGTCACCTTCAAAATTTGGGTTTAACGTGAATCTGCTGATATTTGAAAGGAAACCATCGATCCAACTTTTTATCAAAGCCAGCTTCTGCAATGATAACTACTGGTCTAATCAAACGTCCTTCTAAAGATAAAAGTAAAAAGATTAAAGTTAGCGTCGGTTAATTGTTTTTCTTTTTACTTATTCTATTTTTAGTTCATTGAAAATAATATTTTAGCTGAACCCACAAAATGGGCATAGATGGAGTGTGCATAGCAACAATTAAAAGTGGAGTGTGACTTTGTAATCAAAGGGGTGTTACACCTGATGTTTGTATATCAATTCAAGTACTTTCTTCATTTAAAAGGAGGTTCTGATCAAAGTAGGTTCTGATAAGACTGTCTACAAACACAGCTCATAGATCAGAACCCATGAAACAGTGTTCTTTGCCGTGTATCTAACACCAACCTGCAGCAAATGTATTTTGTTGAGCTCAAATTGTCCATGGTCTATTTAATTTGAATCATTGTTCACTAATCCAACAGCTAGAAAGGAATAACTAGAATGATGAATTAGTGTGAATCTAGATTTTGAAAGTAAAAACGGGGGAGAGAAGGAGTAAAATGTTAATTACTAGACGACATTATTCGGCGGAAGTAGAAAGTTTGTGTTTGGTCAGTGAAGTAGCAGTTTGGCTTGGAAAGTGGCGAACAAGTAGCACAAGCGCATTCATAATCATAACCACAGGAGAAAAAAGGGAATAATTCACGCTTCTCTTGCAGGTGCATGATTGCGATGATTGGTGATCATGTATTTTGACTAGAACACGTGTGCGGTAAGTGTGCCTCTCGTGCGCCTATTTTGAATGCCAAAATGTTTTCTTTACCAGAAATGTTATTTTATCACCTATTTTGGGTGTATACACCGTACATTTATTATTTTAAGTGTTCAAATATTTTTTTTAGGGTGCTGAATGAAGAGAAAAAAGAGAAATTAAAAATATAGAAAAAATTAAAGATATAATCGATCGTATGATAAAAAAATATATATATATAAGAAAAAGTGGTTATATATATATATATTATATAAATATAATAATTCTTTTGAATGTCATGTTATAAATTTTATGTATTTAATTTTTTTATCGTAAGTATTATTTATAAGATATCATTTTAATCGAGGTGAATATGAATATTACAGGTAATAAAGTTCTTTTTTTAAGTACTTAAAATATTTATATATTTATAACTCAAATTTGATATTATTAGTTAAATTAAATAATCATCAATATCTGTTTAATCACATGTTTAATAATAAATAAAATAAATAATAAATTATTTTTTATTGCTTAATTTAAAAAAAAGGATAAAACAAAATATTATAAAAAGTACTAAACGATCACCAAGATGGTAGTAAATAGGTTTAAAATCTTAAAAATATAAATAAAAAATCAGAAATATAATTTACTTAATAAATAGGAGATTCAGTATTCCAAAAAATTTAAAAATTATTCATATAAAAATTATTTTATATTTATTCTTTAATTAAATAAAAATATTTAATAAATTGTGAATGTCCCTTTACTACTTGATCCATAAGATATAAAATCGTTATTATAATATGCAATTGTGTGTGCATTTGTCCTCACTGGCTGGACTGCTCCCAACTTATTGGTGGTACTATTAATTAGCTTCCTCTCTCGTTTGCATAACTCGTCCTTTCTTTACAATTATGACTAAATTCATGAGCATTATATTTTCTAACAAAGATGTGAATATTAGAGAATCAATATGATATGCTAATTTTTGTAATTATTAACGCATTATCTTAATTATACTTTCAATTCATGTGTGATTTTATCCATCTTAGTTAATTTAATTTTTTAATTTATGCAACATTGCATAAAATAAAAAAATAAAGTATATTAAAATTATAATATTTAATATGATCAATACATTAAATTCTGTAATTTTCAATAAAAATTTACTATATATCATTTTATTATGTGTAATGTAACACATATTAAAAAAACTAAATCAAATTATTTATATTTAGTTTTATAATTATTAAAATTAAGTCTCTTATTCTAAATTTTATCAATGATTTAATAAAAATCTGTGTGCCATATGTCACATTGATTTGTATAAATTGATAAAATAAATATGTAAATTATCTAAATAAAAGTGAAAGTATTGATATTTTGTATATTTTGTTTTTTATTTGACTGTGTGATATATATATATATATATATATATATATATATATATATATTATCACTATATACCAATCAATATAATGTCACATTGTTATTACTTGATGAATTTTGGCGTGAGAACTTTATTTTAATAATTAAAAGTATAAGAATTAAATATCTATAACTAAAAGTAAGGTTAAAATTGAGTGTAGTTAAGCTAAATTATAAGGGAAAAGTACAACTAAACTTAACAATTTTTTCATTGAAAATAATTTGGACATTAATTAATTAATAAGAACAACTAATAACTTATCATCTTTTTAGTCACATTAATTTTTTTTCACCATTTACCTAAGACTTAAATTTAAGCCTGCAAATTAAGATGAAATAACTCCGTACTAATTGATCTAAATGCTTAATAATACATTTAGTATCATTTGATTCAAATATTGATTTTTCTTAAATAAGAAATAAAAATAAAAATAGAAAGCTAAAATTAATAATTTAAGAATAAAAAATTGTAATTATTATTTTATTCATATTTTTTATTACGTCCATATACAATAAAACGACAATTTTCTTCTACTTTATTATTAAATATTCAGTTATATAATAAAAAATGTATATCTTTTTCTCCATTTCAGTGTATATAATTTCTTTTAACTTGACATAAAATATTCAAGTCGTAATCTTAGGATATTAATATTATATGAATGTTTGTTTCCCACGTGAAGAGTTGATTTAAAGAAATGTGATAGCTAAACTGTGATCGAGCTGCACTCAAGAATCAATCATAAGCAGGGGGAATTATTGCCCCTCCTCGAATGTTTAATATTTATAATATTACCTACGTAAATGTTCATATATAATTATATTTGCCACATGCATCCACATGTATTTGCTTGGCTAAGCTATTATAGTAGCAATATGCATAATGCATGGCTGCCCCGCTGCACTTGAATCTCAATTTTCTGTGTAAAATATAATTCACCAACAATATCAATTTGGATATAAAAAAAACACAAAAATAATGAAAGCGAAAATATTAAGGTAGATCATGGATATACAAATTGGGCTTTTGATAGGGAAATGATGTTTACACCTTAATTATTTTACACTAGTTTCCAATACCCTTATTTGTTTAGGAAAAGAAAAAGAAAAGGCATGTGCATATTTTAAAAAATAATAACGTAAGAATGAAGAGAAAGTGATTGTAAGTGATAATGGCCTTGAGATATGGTGTAGGGAGTTTGTTTTGTTCATCAACTGTTGAACATTCTTTACCACTTGAAGAAGACAAAGACGGCATTCACCATATATATGTGCATATCCAAATCGACCTCCCACATTCATTTTAATGTAAAAATCCGTATCGTGAAAAGCAAATCAAAGGGCTTCCATTCTCAAGTTTTGGGATTGGAGGAATCTTTTTGCATTCCTCACTTCACTCACTTTAATTGATGAGCAAATGCCTTGAAAGAGAGAGAGAGGGCACAAAGGCCACCGAAAAGCAAGGACACCTTATCATGAAAGCAAGAAAAAAACGACCCGATTAGACCGGCCAACACACACCCTCATAGACACATCCATGACATCCATGATATCCATCCATACCATCTTGTCCATACACAAAACCATGTCATCATAACAATATTCGTTAATATTTTTTTAATTTTAGTTTTTATATATGATTTGATTAATTCATGACCTTCACTGCGTGTAAATTAAGCTTAAGCAGCTCTTAAAAATTAACTTCAAATAAGAGATCTGTCTAAATTTTATAAAGAATATTTTATTTTTTATTTTTATTTGATATAGGACGCTAAATAAACATCACTACTTAAAATATCTAATCAGCAGTTTAATATTTAAATTGAATAGACTTTGATATTATATTAAAAAGTTAAACTCAGAAAAAACATTTAGTACGAGAAGTTTGAAAAATTAAGCTTTATTTAATTCAAAATTTTTAAGTTTGATGTCAACTATACCTTAACATGTAATAACATTTTTTTCTAATAATATCTATCTATATATATATATATATATATATATATATTAAATTATCACTGGTATATTGTTAAGAGTGACAATTATTTACCAACTGCGTCAAACTTTTTTTTTCCTTTAATCTACGGGGGAAATTCCCAAGTCAACTGCACCTCATCATTTGGTCTTGGTTGTTGCAGGCAACACCTCATTTCCCACTTTGTCCACTTTAATCACTGTAGTTCTAATTCTATCATCATCATCATCACCCTCTATATAATCACCGAACCACCTATCATCCACTCCTCCATCATATGGGAACAAGCATGAAGGTGCATCAGTTCACACGTGGATTCTGGGAGCACGAACCCTCCCTCACCCTCGGGTGCAAGCGCTTACGCCCCCTTGCCCCCAAGCTTTCTAATAACACCGACACAACCACCACCACTGCTACTACTCCATCTCTTGTTGCGCCTTTCGATCTCAAGAGCTTCATCAAATCAGAAAGTAGCTCCAGAAAACTTGGATCTGATGATAATAAGAAAGACCCACCTTCACCACAAGGCCAGGTCCATTAATAATCTCTTCTATTTAAATAATTCCCTTTAATTTATTTAATTTGCTCCATGCCATAAATCCATGCAGTACTACTAGTCACGATAATTAATTCACGTGCACAAATGATACAAAAATAATGAATTAAAATATGAAAAAGGTTTTATATTCATAACTTCCTAACCTATATGCAATTAATATGTTTAAAGTTTTGATAGTTTTTTTAGTTTTATATTATGAATTATATCTTATACAGTTTATATATACAGGTGGAAACGCAAATTCCAGGAGGGACAAGGTGGAATCCGACGCAAGAACAGATAGGGATATTGGAGATGCTATACAGAGGAGGGATGCGAACTCCGAATGCTCAACAGATAGAGCAGATCACGGTCCAGCTTAGCAAATACGGCAAGATCGAAGGGAAGAATGTGTTCTATTGGTTCCAAAACCACAAAGCACGTGAGAGACAAAAGCAGAAGCGCAGTAGCCTTGGCCTTGCTCATAGTCCTCGAACTCCCACCACAGTAGTGTCACCCCCTTTTAGTAGTAGTAGTATAATAACTTCTTTGGAGACAACGAGAAAGGTAGGTATCTGTTAGCTACTATATGCTCTTCAAAGGACTAAATCATTAAAACAAATAACTTGACCAAACATAAATTGTACGTTGAATATACCAACGATTCATGTTGCATTATGTCATTTGTAATGAATGATCAATTTTATTATTATTAATTATTACAGGGGAATACAAGTCCCTCTATTGTACCCAAACTTCTCTAGGGTCAAGCTAGCTTTTTAATTATCTAAAAATACTGATTAGTGTGTTTACAATGGTAAAGAAATTTTAAAAATTGTTAAAATTATTATTACATATTTTTAATTAAAAATTAATTTTTTACTATTCAAAAGGGTATTAGTTAGCTAGTAATTAAGACTCTAATTACATATGAGATGTGGAAGATTATTACTATTGTTGTTGTTAAGAAATTTTAGTTAATGGATGTATAATTGTAGTATATGGTAAGTGACATCTTCTTTTTGTTTTTGGGACAGGGGGAAGTAGTAGAAAGAGACGAGGAAGATAGCCCATTGAAGAAGTGTAGGGGTTGGGTATTTGAGTACTTGGAAGACCAAAGCTGGAAAGAAGAGAAACAAAGAACCCTGGAGCTTTTCCCATTGCACCCGGAAGGCAGATGAAGGGGTTCGACCATTTAACGAGAAAATCTTAGCTTTTGTGATCTGAAATGAATGTGCTTTACTTTGGTCTAGAGTTTCACTTTCTTCTTTTCGTTGTGTTGGGAAAGAAGAAAAGACAAAGTTGTCTACAATGTGTACTGTAGTGTTCCCGCTTAATGCTATTCCTGACTTTGAGAGATTAACCAAACCTACTTGTCTCTCTTTACTTGTTGATTTCAGCGCAGTAGTGGGTGTGACTTTGAAAACGATAAACCCTTTTGACGATGGAGCTTGAATCGAAGCTTTTAGGTTAAAAGGAGAAGCTACGGACACTGAAGTCCACGCACCTACAATTCTACTTCTTAATTCTTAAGAGCCTACTGTATATTTATGAAAAAAAAATTTCTTGGATTCAATTTGAAATTTTTATTTAATTTAAATTTAATATGTTATAATTTATTATTTCAATAACTGTTAAATTTAAGTTAAATAAAAAATTTAAATTAAGTATAAATTAATATAAAATGATCCTGTAATTATTTATATATATACTTTGACGTCTTCTTGAGTTCAATTTGAAAAAAAGCATAATATTGTCCTCGATGTAGGCGAAATTTAAAATGATAGTATTCACACTGGATACTCCACTCACCATATCTGTATCAGATCACTTTCATAAAGTAGGGCACATCGAGTATCAAAGGTACATGTGTTTTCATTTATTTTTCCATCATTGACATGCAAATTTCTTTCTCTCACACAGTGCTTGTAGGGCCACCGTGTAACACACCGTTAGAATTGGGACTTGGGAGGGAAATTAGGAAGACCAACATTTTGAAATATTCTTAAGTAAGTGATCACCAAAGTTAAAGGCACTCTAAGGAACTGTTTGTATTTTCATTGAGTTTTTGTTTAAGAGTTTATTTTTGGAAAAAAAAGAAAAAAAATAAATTTTATGTAATATTTATTCATGCTTAAAAACTTTTAAACGAAAATGAGAGAATTTATAAACCCTATAAAACTCTCATAATCTCCTATTCTTAAGTTTCTTAATGAGAGAATTTTGTATTAACTCCATTTTTTTACATTTCTCTTCTTCTTTTTTCCATTTCAAATTCTTTCCTTTTTCTCTCCTCAAACAAAGCCTAAATGACATAAAAAAATATTAATAAAATTATAATATTTTAAGCATCTCAATAAGAAATAATTTAGCAACTACCAAATATGTTTATCAACTGATTAAAGTTATTTCAATGTATCTTATAGTCCAAAGTTTGATGTGTTAAATACACAGAAGAGGTCAGATATAATTTTTTTATAATGAAGAAAAGGGTAAAAAGAAAAAATTGAGATAAAATTAATAAAATCACAAAAATAAAACATAAATTTTAAAATATTTCATTAAAATTGTTTATACGAATAATATAGCTCTTTTTGATCCGTGAATATATACATGCTACTAATTGTGAAAGTGGCTGCATTAAACTCAGATACTCGTGGCGTCTCATTTGTGAGGCCATAGCCATTTTCTTTTTAATTTTGATTTGTAAAAAAATATGGGAACTGGAAAAAAAAAATCTGTTTAACTTTTATTCAATCAATTTTTATATTTTACTTTTTGTTACATGTATTTTTATTTTTATTTCGTTTTTATAATATTATTTATCGTAACTTTTGTTTGTTTTATATCATGTTCAATTATACATCTTAGCGTGTTTGCATGTTGGGGAATCTATATATTATTTCATGTCACATCTGACATCACTCAATCACAACTTATACCAGCCCAAGAAATAACTTTTCCGTATATGTGAAAATATTGTTCATATTTTGCTACATTAAATTAAAGATTCCAGTATTTTATAATAAATTTAAATTTGAAATATCATTTATTTATTTTTTTACATGACTTAACATCTATTTGTACCCGTGTTAAAGATAGAGATATTCATAAATCAATTTAATTTAATAAAAATTATAAAAATTAAATAAGAAATAAAGTTAACAAACTAAAAATAAAGAAAATATTAATTGATGTAGATTTTAGATTTAGTTTTAAAATTTGATCTAGCTAACTTAATTTAAACGAATTTGTATGGAAAAAATTATTATTAAATATATATATATATATATATATATATATTAATTTAAATGTAATAAATAGTCGACCACCAAACACATCAATCAACTTGCAGAAATTGTTTTAGCCTAATTTGTACATTAATTTTAACAATGTCTAATTTATTGAAAAATTCAAATACCTAATTTATAAATATGATATTATTATTATGATAAAATATTATTTATAAAAAATATGATTTAATTCATAAATAAGGTTTTTTACTTTAATAAAAATGCGTTCGTAAAATAAAATTACCTATGAAAATATTCAATCATTATACAAGAAAATTAAGCTTTGTTTAAGAGTTTGAAGGGAAAGAAAAGGAAATGTTTGAAGGGAGAAAGTGGAAAGAGGTTGTTTGGATATTTAATATTAAGAGGAGAGGGTGGTGGGGAGTTTAATTATATAAATAATATTATTATATTTTATATTTTATATCTTTTATTTTTATTTTTATTTTTCTAAAAAATAAAAAATATTTTTGTTCTTCTAAAAATTAATAATTTTATTTTTTATAATTTTTTTTAAAAAAATTTCACTTGAAAACTAATATTTAACAAAAAAAAAAAGTTAGAATCTTAATAATAAAAAAGTATGAGAGTGGGAGAGAGAAAACTTTAGAATGAGAGAATTTAAAAAAATCTAGCATTTGGAGGGATTTTGAAGGGTTAACTCTCTCTTTCCTTTCTAAACACAATTCTCAACCATAGTCTTAAAGTTTTGTCTAAAAATTTAGAAAAAAAATGAGAGAAAAGAATTTGAAGAGTAAGGAAAAACAAAAAAAGATTAATACAAAACTTTCTAAATTTAAAAGTTTTAAAAACATGACATCAAGAAAGGTATAGAAATTTTATAAACTCTAACTCTCCTTTAAAAGGTTTTTTTTTTTTTCAAGAAATATCATGTGGTAGCGTTCTTGACTTTTTGTCTTCGGAGAGAGACAAGGGTAGTGCCTCTGCAAGGTCTTTTTCCCAAGATTGGCTCTTGTATGCACGGCACTGTTGTACCTCTAGAATATCCCACACAGCTTTGAAAGCTTTTTTTGCTAAGAAACGAAGGCGAACTTATTAGAGCTAAGATGGAAAGGGTGGAGGCGGTGAAGCGCTCTACTGAAGAGGAAGATTTGATGAGTAGAAGTAAGAAGAAGGTGAGAGTAGTCTCCGACAGCCTGAACGTGGATTCACATGAAGAGAGTCACAATGCAGGTTCCAAAAGTTACTGCTATTCAGATATCTAGGTGTCTTATAATCCTACCTTGTCTAACCCTATGTCATATAAAGATAAGATTATGCTATCAGAAGACTTAGATCTAGTCCTTAGGGATGAGAAAATTGTTAAATCTATCTTAGATTATTTGAATATTTTATCTGACACTGAGGAATCTGATTTTGTAAATGGAATTGCTAATCATAATCTTTGTCCTGAATTAAAAATTGCTTTGGACGACTATGAGGCATAGTGTTTGCCTTGGAAGTTTACTCTAATAGTAAAGCTCTTAGAAAAAATCTGTAAGTTTTAATTACCTGAACAAAAAATTAGGGCATATTTAGGGACGGAATGACTCACTAAAAATTTTAGATTTAAATAACGATTTCTTTTTAGTTAAATTTGAAAACATGGAAGACTACAAGCACGCCCTTTTTAAGGGTCCCTGACTTATTTTGAACCATTATCTTTTGGTCCAGAGATAGAGACCCCTATTCAGACCTCAGATTCATAGCCTGAAGAAAATAGTAGCTTGGGTTCATATCCAGACTTACCTTTAGAGTTATACAATGAAAAATTCATGTGGCGAGTTGGTACCTGCCTGGGACAATGCTAAAGATTGATCCTCATACTTCTCTCCTTTCTAGAGGCAAATTCACTAGAATTTGTATTGAGCTGAACCTTAGGAAGCAATTGATTCCATCATTCAAGGCTATAGGTAAAGAGTTTAGGGTAGAATATGAGGATCTTCATCTAATCTGCTTTAGCTGTAGTAAATATGGTCATAGACAAGATTCTTGTTTAAAGAGTCGTAAGACTAATTCTAATATTAACTTCTCTTAGAAAACCAGTGATGACCCCATGTTAAGTACAGAGAATAGGCCCTAATTCTCGTCCTTTATCTAATAGTAAAGCCACCCAAGATGCTCCTATAAAGGATCCAATTAATTACCAGGGAAGGTTTAAGCTTCCTTCTTCTCAGCTAAATAGGTACCTTGGTATCCCTACTTGTCATCTGAAGCCTGCTAAGAATCAGTTTAACTTTCTCATTGATAAGGTTAAAAAGAAATTGTCTCTTTGGAAGATGAACAACTTGTCCTTAGTTGGTAGAGTTACATTTGCCCAATCTTGCATTATGAGCATTCCTCTGTATGTTATGCAAACCTAACTCATCCCTACCTCTATTTGTAATGATATTAATACCATTTGTAAAAAATTTATCTGGGACTTCCTTGGGGAGAAAAATGTCATTTAATTGGCTGAAAAAAATTTGTAAGCCTAAAAAGGTTAGGTTTCAGGGATCTACACTTGCTAAATAAGGCTTATTTATTGAAACTCTGGTGACGTCTAATAAATTCTCCCTCTGATTCATGAGACCAAGTGGGTATACATAAATATAATTTCACCCTTGGAAAGCAGCCTAGCTCTAATAAGGGCTAGTAGTGCTCCCATTTATGGAAGAGCCTTACTGCTATCTGGCCTCTCTTCTCTCAAGGTCTTAGTTGGGTTGTAGGGGATGGAATGACCACCAAATTCTGGACAAATAGATGAATTCGCCAAATTAATTCCCTAAATGCTATGCTTCCTACGAATGTTTATCAATATATTGCTCAGATAAACCCCTCCTATTATAGATAAGGGTCAGGATTTATTATTTTGGCACTCTAACAATAATAAGATGTTCTTTAGTAAG